TGGTCAGTCAGTTCACAGGATAGAAACAGCTAATCTTTTTCAATTAGTTTAAATTGATTTTTACCTTTTATGGGCATTTTTACCTTTATAAAGCCATTTTTTTCTAAAAGTGTGGATCATCTTTTGAGCCAAATTCTTACATTTAATCAGTCGGTTAGAATGAGACTTTTGGGCTTTTACCAAGCAAATGAAATCCGTATCAACAGAATTAATCTTTGCAGTGCAGAGGAAACACAGAAGCTGCGTCTGAAGAGGCATTTAGATGCGTTTACACACTGTTTAATGCAGGACATGAATGCATTTAACCTGCAGTTACACATGCAGAAATAATGTTTTGCTTTTTGAAATTGTTTAAAAGAAAAAAAGAAAAGATACTTTGAATGTGAAATTAAAACCGCCAGTAGGTGGCAGCAAGTCACTGTTAATAAGCGAGTCATTGCGATTGAACCGAATCATTTTAAACAGTTGATTCATTCAGGAACGAAACACGCCATGTAGTTTAGAGACGCAGAACAGTGCTGTGGTTCTGTTTGGAATTATTTTTGTAGGCGAAATAGAGCAAAAACAGGCAATATGGTGTCTAAAATGTAAGTCTCTTAAAAAGCAGGTCATATGGTATTTTAAAGTGTCCTAATATTGTGTTGGAGTCCTCTACAACAGGTTTAAATGCATCTAAGGTCAGAAAACATTGTCATTTTCTCAGAATATATATTTAATATTAGAGTCATTTGCCAATGATTTCTAAACGATTCGTTCCAAGCAAGTTTGGAGCAAACCCCGCCCTTCCATAAGCCTACTCTGCTCTGATTGGTCAGCTGGCCAAGCCTGTTGTGATTGGCACAGAGAGGAGTCCTTGAGCAAGTTAGCCAGCGCTACCATCGACAAAGCACCTTTACATAAAACAATAATATAGTGCTCCAATCCGTTCTTATAATAATGACATAAAATACAAAACACAATCGACACATTCTTAGGAAATAGTGGGTTCACAGCGAATTATCAGAAGTACTTCAGTAAAACAGTAATATCGTGCTTAACCTAAAGCTGCACTAGCTATACATCACATATTAGCACAAAAACTTGATATTTTGAGCACTCAGTTGAAAATGTACACATAACGTATCAATCGTAATTACAGGTTGTGCTTCGGAGAGCTTGTTAGTCCAAATTAAGAAGATTAGAAGCCAACGAAGATAAAAGTCAAGATTACAGAAGCAGTCCTTGATAAAATGACGAGCACACAACAAAAGGTTGGAATTGTATTTCTGTGGTATCCTTGAACACAGCTCTTCTCCACATGATGTAAACACACTAACTAGCGGAAGTGTTTGCAGGCTGGCGGGGATTATGCAAATGTGTTACCCAGTGACGTATACTGGTAACAGGCAAAAGATTCGAAAATATGACGACTCGTTAAGAAGATTCAGAACCGACTCTCTCTTTTGAGAGACAATATCTTTATCATGCACTTTTCTGATTAACAACTTTGCAGATTGTTTTCATTTAAGGATAGCTACGTTATAAACTGCAAAAGAGATATTTTTCAAAAACCCATATGACCTGCTCTTTAATATTAACTTGTTTATTGAACTGTTGGTGGAAAAGTGGCTATAGTTAGAAAAGCGAAATCAGTGCTGTTCTTATGATTTCAATCACGTATTATTATTGCAGTTCCTAATTAGGTTACATTCAACAAAGAGCGAGGAGCTTTTTATTTACTTGCCATATCACATTTGTAATCATGCTGATTTTTGGAGAAAAAACGGCTCTTTTTGCATGATATTAACTATATGAAATAATATATATATATTTATACATTTTATAAATATACGTTAAAACAACAATGACGGTATTACTGCAGACGATATATAATCGCACACCCCTAATGCTTGTGGAAGAGATTGCTTTGCAATTTTTTGAGACCGCGCAGACGATGCGCGTACAACAGCGTATGCGTGAGGTGAATGTTGAGACGGAGCGCAAGTCAAGTATGTGGTACTGTGCATGTGTCGTGAGCGCGGTTCAGTATACTTTGAAAGCTGTGCGGACGCGGCTGTGCACGGGACGGGACGCGGAAAGTGAAGTATACCCGGGCCTTAATGTATGCTACCACGACAAATGACGTCAGAAAAGCGTCAGTACGTTATAATCGGTTATGGTCTATTACTGAACCGATACCGAATCATCCTCGTCTGCATCGCGATGCATCGTAGAAACGATTAATTTCGACACCCCTACTTCTCAGTTCAACATTTCTCCTGAACTTTATTTAAAGTACTTCCTCTGCATCCCACACACACTCACACACACACTTCAGTGGAGCAGACACAATCACGTGTGTGTGTGTGTGTGTGTGTGTGTGCGCACCTCGTATCCGGGCAGCGTGCGCACAGACTCCACCACGGCGAGGGCGGCGAGGTGCTGCAGGAAGGGGATCCTCTGTCCGAGCCGTGAGTCCACAGGAAGCTGCAGGTGGAGAGTGAACAAGGCGCATCCCAGCGGACTCAACCAGGCATTCCCCCCGCGGCCTGCAGCACAGCATCAATGAATGACCCGCTCGTTTACATGTTAAACCAGAGTTAATGCGGCTGTGTGAGAGCCGATGGAAACCCGCTGACCTTTGCCCTGTGTCTGACGTGCTGCTATGGCGATTAACCCTGTTTCCTGTGGCGACTGCGACATCAGCCTGCAGGAGGACGAGAGAAAACACAAGAGTCAAATAGAGTCACTGATAAACAGTCATCCTGCTCTCAGCTGCACGTCACATTCATGTCTGTAGTGCTTCAAATAAACAGGAAAATAACAGAATCATTGATGCAAAATCAAAAACACGAGGCAACGAGACATGTGCACTGAGGACCGAGAGCTTCTCGCTGGACTGAAATTGACCTTTGACCCCTATCACAGGCTTCCTATCCCAGCAGCCCCATCAAATAACACCCCCACTAACACAAACAGCCATCCACTTGACCTCAGTCACGCTGGACGCGTCAATCTCACAGTAACTGCTGCAAAAGCACTCCATTACTCCTGCAGAAGTTTAATAAAGTCACTTCCATGCCATTCCATCCTCTCCAACGCCAGTCACGCTCCTCGGCCGTCGTTGCAATCAGTCAAAGAAGCTCAACGAGCGAAAACAGATGAATGTTTCTCTTGGCGTTACAGGCGCGGGAATCTTGGATCCGTGTGTTGTTTAGAGCAAATACATTTACAGAAGAGCTTCAGCGCCACGTCTTCAGTCTGCTGAGCCGCTCGAAGCCCGAGACACACAGAGAGCAGCATTCAGATGCAAAGAGACGCAGAGCGACGGCCCTTTGAGCGGCTCCGCAGTAATCCATCTATTCAAGCGCTGCCTGTTCAGATAGAGCTGCCTACCACTGGAAACTCCACCAGAAAAACAGAGTTTCCAGTGTTTTTACAGCAAACCAGTCCGTGTGCTGATCGTCCAGTGAAGAGTGTTTTCTAGAGTGACCACACATGCTAATTTGCAGACGGAGGAATTCGTGTTCTCAGAGTTTTAATTGAACTGGACGTGCTTGCAAGAGTAGGAATTGAGAAGAAAAAAACTGCAAAAACAGAAACCCCGGCGGTCTGAGGCGTCAAACGCGAAAACACGAACAGAATGAAGAGTGTCGAAGCGACAATCAAATGTGCAAAACGCTGCAGAGAGCGAGGGGGATTTCGGCAGATCTTCAGTCGGTGCTCTGCTGAAACACACACGGATGCAGCTGTTGAGATCATGACCTCGGAGCAGCAGCGGCCGGTTAGTCAGACGCGGATAATTGAGAGCTTTCACAGTTGGGCAGGAGCGGCGGAGACCCCCGCGAGCGGATCGTGACGCAGCTGCAGCCGAGCGCATCAGGAGCTGACGAGCACAGACGGAGCTCTGCAGTCCTTCAGCAGCACAAATCAGCCTTTAATAAGAACATCAGCCGCTAACGGCGCAGAGAGAGACGCCTGCGACCTGCCTGTGTGTGTGACTGTGTGTCAGTGTGAGCGTGTGTGTGTGTCAGTGTGAGTGAGTGCGTGAGTGTCAGTGCGAGTGTGTGTGTGTGTCAGTGCGAGTGTGTCTCAGTGTGAGTGAGTGAGTGTGTGTGTGTGTGTGTGTGTGTGTGTGT